ATACTCACCGCTGTGCATTGAGGCGGCGTTGAAAAGTGGCAGCAGAAACATTGAAGTCAAATTGTCCACTAACATCGTTAAACCGAGAAGACATTATCCTGATAGGATCGTGTTGACCATAACGGCTGTTCCGGGTAGCAAGGTGCAGGAAATTACGTTGCCTCAAAGGTCTTTGCGGCGCATATACGTGCAATTCAGCAAGAATATCTGGGGCATCGATTTCATTGGTCATTACCTTAGCGACGAAGATGGCTTGCAAATTGGATCTTCGCTTCTCCAGAGTATTGATGCCTAACAGCATACAACGATGTTCATATGGAGGAAGATTTGACGAATCACGCCAGGGTAAGTGGCGAAGAGCGAGGCGCACAAATTTTTTCCAGTTTCTGTTGTACGGGCACCATACCAGCACGGAAGATTCCAAAATAGATCGAACCAGTGCACAGAAAAGGGACTTCAGGCAGAGAGGATCACGAAATCCATCAGCAAGCTTAAACATGAAGCCGAGCTGTTTATTGGCTTTTGCAATCACGTCTTCGTAATGCGGTCGGAAAGTGAGTTCGCGGTCCAATATCACACCGAGATCCCTAACCTGATACAAGCGCTCGAGAGTTTGTCCACACATGCTGTAGTTGAAATTGATTGGTTGCCGCTTCCTGCTGAATGATATTGTGTTGCATTTGGCTATGCATAAATCGAGTAGGTTTCGCTTGCTCCAGTCCTCGAACAAATCTAATAACCTCTGCAACTCCAGGCAATCCTCAGTGCACGTGATGATCATAAAGATCTTAACATCGTCGGCATAGAATATTCGCTGTCTACGTGGCAACACAAAGGCAATGTCATTTATGAATAATGAGAAAAGCAGCGGTCCAAGATTACTCCCTTGCGGTACACCAGAAGGAATCATAAACGGCTCCGAATGTGACGAACCAATCCTTACTCTCACGGATCTTTCAGACAGATATGATCTAAAACAGCTAACAAGCGCGGAAGATACCCCCAGCTTCTCGAGTTTTTGCAACAGGATATCATGATTCACACGATCGAATGCAGCCTTGAAGTCCGTGTATACGGCGTCCACTTGTGAACCAGCGTCCATAGAGCGTATGCAGAGTGAGGTGAACTGAGTGAGGTTAGTAGTAACAGATCGTTTCGGGTAGAATCCATGCTGGGCACATGAAATGTAGTTTTTGGTGGCTTCAAAGAGAGCGTTGTTTACAATTATTTCAAAAACCTTAGAGCAAGAGTTCAAGGACGTTATTCCACGGTAGTTGACGACGTTACATTTGTCACCCTTTTTGTGAATCGGTGACAGAAACGAAGTTTTCCATCCAGCAGGAAATTTTTGCTGTTGGAACGAGAGATTGAACAGTTTTACTAACGGTGTCATCAGAGAACTCGAGCAGTTTTTCAACACAGATGAAGGAATCCCATCAGGACCGGGTGACACGGAATGTTTGAGCTTACGTAATGCATTTTCGACATGCTCCTCGCTGATCTGGAAAATTCCAAAGTCGATGCTGTCTAGCGGCGTATCACGAACAGCAGCCTCTATCTGCGATGACGTAGCAGGCGTATTTGAGAAGACATTCTTGAAGTGTTCAGCAAAGATCTCACATTTACTAGAGGCTGTGCTAGCAAATTGGTCGCCGAAATACATGGACGTTGGCAATCCATCTTCTTTGCGTTTAGTACGAACAAAAGACCAGAACTGTTTGGGATGTAGACGTAAATTTCTCTGCGTACGATCAACGTATCGAGCATACAATAGACGGTTATACCGTGTGTACTTGTTACTGGCCATTACAAAGCGATGTTTGGAGTGCTGCGAACGACTCCGACTATACGTTCGAAGTGCAGATCGCCTACGGCGCTTCAACTGGCGGAGGCTCCAGTTCGTCCAAGGAGGCTTCAGTGGAGGGCGCTGAAGAGGCACGTGAGTTTCGATGACTTGACGTATCTCCGTGTTTTTTTTTTTAATCTAGTTCGTTTATTTGGAAGGCTCAATCGCGTTAGCTTTACGGAGCCGATAATTCATTGTTCACTGTGTGTAACAAGATTCACTTAATTCTATGTCTAGTAGGAGTTGGGCCGATTACTCGCGGCTTACTCGAGGTTAGAAGGGTACATTTTCGAAGGATAGGATCAGGGGAGGAGCTTGGGGTAGGGTTTCGTTGTCTCATCAGAGCGTTGTCGCCAGTATGAACGGTAGTGCTGTTCTAGCTTCGTCCGGAGTTCGACCGGCTATGGTGGGTGACCAGTGGGCGACGATGAGACTCATCGAGACGGGGGGACAAGACAAACAAAAACTAATAAAGAGAGACAAAAGACAAAAGGAATTAAATTCTTATACTAGACATTTGAAGAAAAACATAAACGGACTGCATATAGCAGAGATCACGGGTTGCTAACACGTCTCTGATAGGAACATAGGGTTGTCTTCCTTGGGCCTCGAGGGTATTCAAAAGTCGCTCTCTGGCGGCGTCATTATCCGTACATTGCCAAACTGCGTGTTCGATGTCATCGTAACCGTTTCCACACCGACAGATGTTGCTGTCCACGAGGTTTATTCTATTGAGATGAGCATCTAGCGAGTAGTGGTTGGACATAAGTCTACTCATCACGCGAATGAAGTCACGACTTAAGCCCAAGCCTTTAAACCACGCTCTCGAAGAAACATTAGGAATAATTGAATGTAACCACCGTCCAAGATTTCCAGTGTCCCAATCGGTTTGCCAACTCGAAAAGGTACTCTGACGCACTAAATGGTAAAATTCATCGTGTGAAATTTGCCTGTCATACAATTCGCCTTCCTGCGCGCCCACCTTTGCGAGAGAGTCCGCCTTCTCATTGCCTGGGATTGAGCAATGTGAGGGGACCCATACAAAGGTAATCATATATGATCTTTCGACCAGCACACACATCTGCTCCCTTACCTTTGAAAGGAAATAAGATGAGTGCCTACTTGGTTTCATCGACCGAATAGCCTCAATGGAACTGAGACTATCCGAGAAGATGAAGTAATGGGTATCTCCGTGTTGAAAATACATACAATATCGTCCAGATCCTGATCAGAATCCAAAAATTGCCAATCGATTGATAATAGCGCATCATTCATCGAACTATAATCAGCCCGACGAAAATCGAACCGGCAGTCGTCTAGAGATGGTTCAAATGACACTGGTACCGAAATAGAAACGGTGACGTCAATAGCAGGATGTGGAGTATCGATTTCTACGAGCGATGCGAGGTAGGCGACGATTATTCGTATTTGACAGCCACCTCCCCCCCTTGGTACGCATACTACAACACATCAAAATCTAATCGGTCAAGTGCCAAACCTGCATGTCACCTGCCACACACAGCAAAAAATAAATTTTAATATTACATCCAAGAGGATGCACTTCCATCATGTCCTTTTTAGCAAGTAATATTACACCATATTTTTGACACGATTGAAGTGCATCCACTTTGATGTGATACCAAAATATTTTTGTTACTGTGCACGTACCCAACCGCACCAACCGAGCGTTACAACACGGGCGATCTAGGACATCCCGCCGGGTAGCATATGGGAATCAAGGGGCTAAGCATCTTCGAGAACTTATCATCAGTTTCAGCTTATTGCACACTCTCAATTTAGTGTTCTAGATGTACTTCCACAGTTATTAATTGAGAGCTTTCGATGCCTGGTATCATTTTTGCATTAGCATAATTGTATGGCAAAGTACAATCATAATTTATGCCGAACCGAACCGGGAATCGAACTCAGCCACCTCCAACATGGTCTTGCATTGTAGCTGCACCTTTACTTACTGAACTAAGGGAGGCCCCTTTGTAGCTCTACGGTGCGAATTTTGTTACAAAGTCATGAACGATGCTCCCAAGAGCGACCCATTCCTGCCGGTAATAGCTTGACAGCTACCCAGCTCAACTGGTTGTTATGTATCGTTATTAACTATGTTTTTACTCATTGAAAAGACCGAGCCTAATAAATATATTTTCGTATTTTATCAGCGTCTCTAAAAAAATATGGTTCATTTCAATTTATCACAGTGAATCAATTTTAACATTAAAATGCTGTGAACTAAGAATTGAGTGCTCACGACAATATTGGCTTGTCTAAACCACCTGATCATTCCATTTAAAATTTGATTTCAATTTGTTGTCGATACAGTCCTTATTTCACATATTTATATGATGTTTTCAAACTGTGTAGATAGTAGAATATCATATTTCGAAATATTTTCGTTTTTAACTTTTCTGATTTTTTTTTACAACAGTTTGAAAAGCTCCAAAGATATCACAAGCAGTATGTTCAATCATTTGTGTGAAAGTTCTTAACATTTGTTTGCTATTTACATTCAATACTACACATTGCCACACCCAGCTGATTTTGCTCTGATGTTGAGATGGGTCTGTTCACTAATTACGTAATTTCCAAGTTTTGTATTTTTCAGTCAATCGCCGTCAAATGGGCGCTATCCAGATTGATTGTTATCTTAATTGAAGAGTAACATTGATTAGAAACTAGCTCAAAAAATGTTTGACACAAACCGGCACGTGACCCGTCGTCTCCATCTGTAGGTACCTACTTCGAGACATGTCGTATGGAATTCATACCTTCGTGTCAATACGTATATCTGATCTGTCTCATCTCGTGGTCACTGATAACCACCACCTAGAAGCAAGTATCCATTATGAGTAGCTATTGGCAAATAAAAGATATCTAATTGGGGCTACGCCAAGTGTTGCTACTTTACACTTACCTACACATACTACACTTATCTAGGGGGTGACGCCGTTGTCGCACGAATCACATGCCGTCAACTGTTCATCAACAGCCCGTCTGACTACCATCCATCGGGTAAGTTGGAGTGCTTACCTAGGAGGCAATAATAAAAGTATGTTGAATTTAATTAACTGATAAAATTTTCATTTTCTACTTCGCCTTCGGACTGCGAGCTCGAGGGAAGTGTTGTCCGAATTTTCGGTTCAGTTCGTTCGCTCGTTGTCCTGCGTTACGGTCGGTGTGCGTGTGCGAGAAGTTTTTTTTTTCGAATAGAGAGAGTTTTAGGTGAATTGTTGGAATATTTTCGGAACTTTTTCGGACTTTTGAAAGTGAACTGAGTGTATTGGGAAGCTCAAGTGGTTTTTGAACATGGTTTCGGATGGTTACGTTCTGTGAAGAAACGGTTATTGGGTAGCGGGAAAATGTTATCCAAGCTGGATATATAGGCAACTGTTGTGGAAATTAGTGCATGTAAGTAGGAAGATGTAGATTTGTCATCGATTTTGTAAATTTGGATTTATCAGGAACTCCCAGAATGAGGAAAAATTTAAATATTTATGTTGAAGTTTTGTTCATTCTTTTTTGATTTTTACGCTTCTGATGCAAGCGTTTTACCTGCTCTCAACTTAGACCCCTGGCAGAGTGAATGCGAGAAGCAGAGCTGACAAAAGATTTAAAGGATTTTTTAAAATTTATTATTATAAGAAGGTAGGCTTTTTGCATTCACGCTGCCAGTGTTCTCATAGATATTATTTGAGAGCTTTCTATGCTAACCAGGGCATGCATTTATATATAATGTGGCAAGCACAATGATAATCGATGCCGCAGTAGCGCCGGTGGTGTAGTGGAAAGCGTGATTGCCTCTCAACCCAGCAGGCCTGGGGTCAATCCTTGTCGGCGCCGCCGGGATGTTCTGAGGCATAACATCTCTGATCAGGGAAGGGAAGTAAAGCCGTTGTTCCCCGGTTCATGAGATGATGGGTCGATAGGTACAAAATTATAGATTTAAGCGACATTGCACTTACATTTACATGACATATCAACGTGTTCTCTATATAACGCAAAAATTTACATGAATTTTTCAAACGGTGTAGGGATACAAGTTAAACAAATTCATAATGGACGGCCTTTAATTGCAATTTTAGCTATTCATATTAACGGGATTTGGTGGTATAATGTATTCCGATTATGACCAATGGAACTTCCACAGGTAATAATTGCAACACACCATAACAGGAACGAGTAGCCATGACTGGTGCATTTACCCTACACCAAAGCTTTATATATGCTGAATTTCTTATAAGGTAAATGACGGCTTCGGCAGGCAGTGACTGTTTTTGGAAATCAAAATTGAAATGGTAATATCACTGGATTTTCTCACCAAAACACTTCGCTGCATGTATTCAAACGATTCCTTAGTCTTTCAACTTCAATAGTACAAAATACTGCCAATTTAGAGTTGCCGAAAAAAGAACAGCTGTCTAACACGTAGTTTAAATAGAAAGTTACCCGAATAAAATCAGACTGCTGACAATAGCCATACGCACCTGCATGCTTGGTATACACAGTTTTGGTCACGAATTGCTCATTTGGTAATAACTTCGTTCTTTTTAAAGTAATCGATAGAATAGAGGTTAAGCTTGTTATAGATACGTTAACACAAAGTAAATTTTAATTCTAGTAATAAACTGTATTTTCTCTTGCGTTGCAAAAATGAAGTGAGAAATGCTTGCTGCACATCCTCGGACTTTAAGTGTAAAAATTGTGTTGTGTTGATTCAAATGTTAAGATTTACCCACTCTTTGCATGTCTATAGTAAACTATGATCCTAATCTATCAATTACTTTAAAGAAAAATAAATTTCTAGAACTGAGTGAAAAGTTATTGACAAATTAGTAGTTTTGTGTGCACAACTGTGCATGCCAAGCATGCGAACCTGAGAAGTTTGGAGCGTTCGAAAAGCGTTTTAAAACAGTTTTGGAAAATTTTATCGATTGGAATGGATAGAACAGTTGGCAGCATATTATTGTAACACGGAGTCTCTGAAATAATTCCTTACATTTGCATTCGCATTCGAATTAAGCAAGTTGCACATATTCGTAGGTGGTACAAGTCCTAGACCATTGTTTGAGAGTATCTCCACCTCCATTCGTTACCGTTTGGACCGAGATTTTGGGATTGATCTTAGCCACTTAGATGGAAGTAGAACGACCTTCAACAATCGAGCCACGTCCTTGCAACTGATAGGGATGCAAAGGATTATTAGTTGGACACTTACTAAAGAGAGATGCAGAGAGTTCTACCAACAATCAATACGAAACTAACGATTTTAAATCGGCTCACTACTTGACTAGCCTATTGGTCCCAAGCAAACGATTAACGTATCCCATTCTAGTCGAAATTGTAGTACTACGCAATGTTTGTTTTGATTCGCTATGAAAGTTTGACAGATAAAATGAGGGGTTATTGGTTATTCCTATGTTTCGAGGGGTGAATCGATTAGCTTGGGACCGAAGAGAGTACCAGAGCTGAGCCAAAAAGTTGAGCTCGTTTCTTCGGGACCTTCTGGTCTTAGAGTTACCTCTATGGTTCTACGGTTTGTTAATGGGGAAGGAAAAACCGTACGATACGTTCGGTAAACGTTGCTGGCACATTGATAATAGCAATAGGGAGTGTGAAAAAATGGCATAGTTAAAAATTGCATAGAACGGGACGGGCCTGGAATTGAACACACCAACTGCTCATTTGTTAATAACTTTTAACTCAGTTGTTGAAATTTAGTTTCCCTTAAAGTAATTGATAGATTAGGATCATAGTTTACTGTAGGCATGCAAATAGTATGTAAATCTTATCATTTGAATCAAAACCAATGCATTTTTACACTTAAAGTCCGAGGTGTGCAGCGAGCATTTCTCAGTTCAGTTTGCAACGCAAAATCAAATACAGTTTATTACTAGAATTAAAATCTTCTTTTTTCACATAAAAGCTTAAGCACTATTCTATCGACTGCTTTAAACAGAACTATGTTTCGTCAACTCTGTGCAAAGTTATTAGCAAATGAACAGTTCGTGAGCAAAACTGTGTATGCAAAGCATGCTTATAGGGTTAGTGATCCTAATGTCAGTCTAAGTGTGTGAGTATTCCCTCTAACCTCCACTGGCCGGCAGTGTTATTATGGGAAAACTCTCTCTAAAATGTCGCATTTATGGACATTGTAGACAGCTTTAGTCCGGGAGTTAGAAGGTGATAGCTCCATTGCAGATCCAGAAACCCATTCAGAATGTCTGGAGACTCACGCCCATTCCGAGGTAATTTTCACTTACAATAAGCCCCACATGTATGTATTACCTCTATCAATTACACAGCAAAAAATAAATTTGAATATTACATCCAAGAGGATGCATTTCAATCATGTCGAAAATCTCATGTAATTTTTATGGCTTCAAAAATAATCAAATGCAGTAAAAGCAGCGTAATGTCAATTCATTGGAATGGATATTGGAAAAAATACCAAAGATTTGAAAAAAACATATTTTTTTCTGATTAAAAAAAAAATTGACATGCAAAAAAATGATTTGTGAGTCATCATGGCATAATGTTGGACTCATAAAACCACAATAGATCGACCTTTCGGTTTTGCCTAGAGACCTTTTTTTACATGATGAGATTTTAACATGTCAATTTTCTCAGGAATCTATGGAAAAAACTGACTTTCTTGGATTTTTGATATTTTTTCCAATTTTTTGCTAAAAAAAAACGAGCAAAAAAAATATATCTTGGGTGATGAACTAACCCTTACTTAAATGTCTTTTCGATCAGTTGTCGTTCGATCAACAACGGAATAATCATTTCAAAAGAAGGAAAAATCTTCAAATATGACTCTTAAGCTGTGAATCATTTGCCGAGTTAGTTTTTTGCTGTTTTATTTAGCATTCTGCTAACAACCAAATTTCATTACTTCATTATTATTTATGTTCGAAAATCCCGATCGGTTTTCAAGCAGAACTCAGCCACGGTTGTCAAAATTTAACTTCTTTTTGTCAGAAATAACCACGCTCGGATAGCAGAGTTAATCGATAACTTTCCATCTGTCAAATTTTAACCAAAAGCTTAAAAAATCCACCAAATGGTCACTGTAAGCTATCAGCCTTAAAAAAGTTAAAGGAAAATAGAATGGTGTGGGCAACCTTCAAAAGAAGAAAAAAACAATGTCATGGTCATGTCAATCGATAACCGTCGATAACGTCAACGTCTGCAAATTCACTATTGCAGATATTAACGCTGACGTTATCGACGGTTATTGATAAACATCCTTGGTTATGGTATATATTATTCATAGTACCACAGTGTTGTCAAAATCAACAATCAAATTATATTTTTCCGCTTCTCATACGCGTGATATTGGAACAAAAAATCATGCTTGCTATTGAATCATTGATTAAAATGAAGCTGAGCCTTGACTCGACACAAAAATTATTCCGTTGCCCATCGTTTTCTTGGAAAAAGAAAGTATAGATTGCTGCCTCTCTTAACTCTTCGCCGATGGCAGACACGAAACTACTGCTGCCAGCAGTGACGTAAGTTTCGGGTCGCGTTCGGATGGAAACAAAAATCATAAAACTCAAACTCACCACAGTTTGGTTAGAATTGTAGCTGATGAGTTTTGTTAGCTTGATATTCGTGGCTACGAAGCTTGTAATATCATTCGCAGTTGCTTGTTTGGCGTGATCTTGGGCATTGGTGAGATTTGATTTTTTTGATATATTCTCAACACTGGTCAAGCATAATTAAAAAAGTAGAAGTCTAAAGACCTGCTCGTGTTTAAAAGAAGGAAAATAATATAAAAATGTTTAATTTTGAATTAAAGTAGTGTTTCGTTTTTGGCGTTCCGATTTTGCCACGTCCTTTTTTTTCATGTTCAGTTGTTTGAGCATAAATCCAGTGATATTGTATGGAACACCTAGCAAACATTCAGAATGACTTCAGAGGATGATATTGATAGCACCGACAAACCGACATGAAAGTTAAATTTAGATTTTGCTAGAAAATCCATAAAGGCCGATTCATTTGTTCAGCGATCCGATCTGTTAAAACCACGGGATTTTTTGACGTAGGACTACGTCTTTGATTTCTATATGGGAGTACACTTTGTGAAAACTGAAAATGGAACATGTAACAAATTAAGAAAGATTTTGAACGTTAATAACTCAGCTGCACCTGGTTCAATTTCAATAATTTTATCATCAATCGATCAGAAATATGACTACGCATCGATAACAATGCTTCCGAATTTTGATTTTCAACAAGAAACTATTGAAAAACTGGTAAATGTCCAGCATTGTCCAAAAACGTCGAATTAACTAACAAATCCACCAATTGCCTACATGCATATGCTGCTTCCCCAGCACAGTCGTCAGAGAGAAGTAAGTATATGAAACAAGTCGAAGTGGCATTCACTTCCGATCCTCGGG